GTTTTAAATTTCAGTTATGTTCCTTGGTCTTTATCATGATGTCGCTGTAAGTTCTAGCCTTCTCGGTCGTCTGATCGCTTTCCGACTTGCCCGTCCTGATGGGGAGCTTGTTGATTGAGATGACGTTCCAGAAGGCCTTCTACGTACGCGCCACTGGAATGATGGTTTCACCCGCTCTTGTTCGTCGTCGTCACAAACCTGAGGCCCTTCATCGTCGTGATGTTGATCTTCCCGATCTGCCCCTTGGTTCACCGCTACTTCGCGAAGCTCGATTCGACCTTCGGGCCCTTGATCTTCTTGATCGCCGTCTCGCTCCTTGTATGCGCAACCAAGTCGAGGCAAGAGGTCTTCTTAACGGTGCCGGAGGTCGAGGCGCTGGCCACGGCGTTCCTATTGCTGGGCTCCATCGTTTTCTTCACCCTACCATGGATCGCCGGCCCGACCACCATGTTCGAGGGCGTCTCCTGCTCCTCTAAGGCGGACGCCGGCTTGCACAAGACTTTACTGGCCGTCTTATTGGCCTCCGCGATCACAAACACCTCCTCGTGCGATCATTCTGCCTCAGTCTCGTTTAATAGGTCCATCCCATCCGTTTCAAAGCCTCCGTAGATCTCCAAGTCTGGGTCGCTATATTTGTTGTCTGAGTTGCTGTCGTTCTCGCCGTCGCTTGTAATAACCTCCTTGCTCTCATTTGCCTGCTCATTAGTGTCGTTCTTATGCTTGTTTAGGGGCGGTAAATGCAGCTTGGTCCTCATCGGGGATGAGACATCCTCGTTGTTGCTGTTTTGGACCAGGACGCTGACGTCTTCGGCTTCTGGGACTACCCAGGCTGACAACTGTGTAATCACAGTTTTTAGTGATGGTGTATATCGTGGTGCAGATGTACAAGTAGCAGAATGTGATGCGGTATCAAGTTGATCTTACTGTGATGTGCATTCATAGCGTCAGCCCCTCATTCACTTCATAGTCTCACTCCACTAGTTTTCGTCTGTCATTTAGATCGCGCACTCGACTGTGAACAGGCGTTGTCTTCGCCTATCTATGTTTCATAACGCCCACTATATTGAGCGTGAACTGGATTCCGGCGACTCTTCTCAGGTTCCCCTGGCTCCTAAGCACCAACCTGAGTATGTATAGCGTGTACGTCATCTTGAGGGCCCTGGACGATCCGATGTATCCAGCACCCGTCTCAATAATCATTCGAATTGGAGGATACGGTCAATAAAGCTGTAATAATGGTCTTGACGCTCACCCCGCAGCTCACTGAACAATTCGACAGGAGCTTTGATCCCATTTTGCTTTAAAGCTTGCACCGTCGCGACTTCGAGTGAATTTGCAACCACAATGCTGAGGGCGTACAGTAGATGTAGTAGTTGAGCCCTGGTTTCGCTATGAGTGATTCCTCGCACAGCTTCTCAATAGTTCTAACTCAGAAGACGGGAGGTTGTACGGGTTCGGACGGCGTCGGGCAGAGAGTCTGGCTCATGTGACCGGCCAGGCCGCCCGAAGTTCACTATCGTGGGCCCTGACATTGAGAAAAGCTTTTGCGCCGCTAGGATTGTCAACTTCTCGCTTCCGCGAGAAAAAATCATCAGCATTTACATCTTTAAATGGACTTGGTATAGCGGCTTGCAGAAGGATGTATGTAAATTTCGTCTGTATGAACAGGATTAGTGGGAGAATCGACGTTGAGGGCGGGAGGAGGCTGCAGATCAGTAAACCGGGATTTTCCTCTAACGCCTGCCGTATTTCGCGAGGAATAGTCGAGAAGCTTAGCCTGGATTTTCATCAATCCACAACAGCTTTAGCTTCAACCTCAAGAGGTTATTCATCTCTCTCTCCGTCTAATAGGAGTCAGAGATACAGATATAGGTGAGAAGCAGTAGGTTACTAATCTTCTAAAAGCTTTCAAACAGCAAAATGACGATCGACTCTATGCACTATATCTATATGTTCACTAAGTCCAGCTGGACCGCAAATAGTGTTTTGCTGTTTCGCTGCACTGATAGACGTGTGTTCTCAGGTTGTTATGCGAAACAATTCACGTCCCCACATCCCAGATGCCGGGTGAGGACGATGTTGACGATGTCTTTGACCTTAGGAATTATGTCGTGAGGAAGGACAAGATTGAATACATATATATCATCAAAGGCAGCTCGACGTTGCTGGACTCAGTGTTGAACGAGCTCACTAAGGGCAAAAGAAAAGGGAAAGAGCGCCGGGGAAGACTGAAAAGATCGTAGGCTAGAAGTTGCTCACTGCCAACACGTTCAGCATCACTGCCAGCTAGCACGGTGTCATCAACTCTAAAAACCTGTGCCAATATCGTTGCCCATTTCGCGAGTTATAAGACGATTAGCATGCATGTGATCAAGATCACACCAAGCGGGTTACCTCATCATCCACAGCGACATGCACTCTGCCTTCATTCATATTCGGCGCATGTCTGGGGGGTGCATGGAAAGGGCGGCTGTAAACAAGAATGAGATCACAGCGTTAGCCGAGGGAACTGTTTTCAGAGTCTCGGCGCGGGAGTAAGCATTCATAAGTCTTCGTCATCTCTAATAAGTAAAAGTACCAGGCGTCAACAGGAATGGCACGTTGAACACGAAGGGCCTCGCCATAGTCAAGAACAATTCAAGAATCGCAAAGTGTGCTCTGAACAGGCCCATGAGGAGCCTGCACAGGAAGTTCAATCACTTAGACAATTCCAACAAGCCAATGAAGTTGACGGGCTCCATCATGTCGAACATGAAGCACAGCAGAATCTGAGACTCGGATAGATCTAAGACCTTAAACATGATCCTGTTCCCCGTCGGCATGCTGCATGAACAGCAGGACAATTATGAGTGTGTCAACTTGCCGCGTGATTCCGGCTTATCGTCATTCTTCCCTCCTGACCCGAAGTTGCTTCTTATGCTCAGGTTTGTTCTCGAAGAGGTCGTATCTCAGAGACAGAGACATAGATTTAGATAGATGATGAAGTTGGAGACGCCGTCCGCCACGATTCTTCTAGCAGCCAGATGCATGTGGTCATGGTATCAACCTCGATTGTGGACCATGGCTGGATTTTGAAGAGCACCGGGCGCGTGGGAGGTCTTCGCCAACGACGACTACGACTACAAGCATGCAGCATATAGGTCTGTCTCCATCCTACTGGAGAAGTTCAAGACAATGAGTCCCCAGTAGACCTTACCCAGCGCGCTCATCATGAGTACGAACGTGTTTGGGCGGTGACGCCGCTCTCGTTCCCGAACATACACATGCACAGGGCCTCAAGGGTTTACCACGGCACGCCGCCCCTTTCCGTATACAGTAGCGCGGAGGTAGCGTCCCACAGCGAGGACAAGAACCTCTGGAAGATTTCAGACAAGCCCATGGAGATTGTGTTACACTCTTACATGACATCCAGTCTGTTCCATCGAGATTATCACCTCAGTATGCGTGACCAAGAAGGTCGATAGTAGGGACTACAAGACACACACTTTCGTGCTGAAAAACACGGTCGGTAAGTAGCTCTAGTACTGTGAGACCCACCCCCAGTCCACGTCTTCAAGATCTCTGAGGTCGTCGTTATGTCTGTCTCGATTTATATGCTGATTAGACGGGTTGAGGCTAACAGCTAATGGGTTATGATTCAGGTTTTAGAGGCCCTATATCAACATCATATGTGAAAGCAGCAACGCCATAAAGTACCTACTTGGACTCTCGTTTTCAATTGCCCCGAGAAAGAGCCCGGGCAGATATCGTTTGCGATTTCAAGTATGGTTCCCTTCTACAGATCGGAACGCAAACGAGGACCAGCTCGGGGATGCAAACACCAAAACAGACGTTGCAGTAGGGGGTCATAATGTTCGCGATGGAGCCGAGGACAAACTTGGGGATTTAGTCATGATGACGTTCTCTTCTAGAGCGACGATAAATACGTCGGAGAACTGCGAGATTTCGATGAAGCAAAACACCGAGAATGCTTTTGTCGTCAGAGCGGTGTGGTTCTCGTGATATGGGATGAAAGTTAGTATAAACATAACCTTAGAAGTTTCCCTCAGGATCATTCAGAAGTCTGAAGGTATGCCATCCACCATAAATGAGAAATATGGAAGAAGAGGCCGAGGACACATACCCTTACAAGTGCAATGAGCCCGTACATGTACACCTAGAGCTGTGCAAGTACAACTAGCAAACCGTACATGTCCAACTGAGCCTGCACAAGTGTAGCGAAGAGTCTTCCCATGTTCCATTATGTATTGGTCGACTTCCCGCTCGTTTCTCGCGAAGTTATCACCCGGCGAAACTAACCGCCACCTTTTCAGATACTCTGTCCATCGTGGGTACCTCGTCGGCAGATCTGACCTCGCTTATCTTTGTGCGGCAAGCTGCAAGGTCATAATGACTAGGCCGCCTTTCCGTCGCAGAGCATGGGCGACATTGAAGCTGATAGTTCGTTGATTTGCTTGCAATCATTCTTAGGTAGCAAGTTCTCGCCCGCATATTTAGCATGAATGAGTGTGAAGCCCGTACCCGTATAATCCACGCCCAGAATTAGATGGCCCTTTTGTTGTTTTTGTTTCTTCAACCTTCCGGTCAGTCACCTTGATGATGTCAAGGAACCTTTATATCGGTATATTGGAATGTATTTGAATATCGTTGCGATGGCGGTGGTATGTGCAAGACCCGTCGGCTTCTCAGGAACGGCGTCCACGGTTTACTGAGACATGGAATTCATTCATAGACTGTAGGATGAAATAGGATCACCGATGACGGCTCGGCAGGTCACACAATTCATTCGAGCCTGTGGGGGTAGGCCATCATAACAGTGTTTGCACACGATGTGTCCTGTCGGGGAGAGTCAGCCTGGTGGATCCGCGATAATGAATGCTGCCTTACCGCACGAATTAACGACCATTTCCGTGCCGGGGCTTGCTATCATGCAAATGACACAAGAGTCCGGGAAGAAAATCCTCAGCATATGCTGGCTCATGTCGCAACAACGACCCGATTTATCGACACAGTTCTCGCAAGCTTTCTAGACCGAGACCATCAGCGTAGTAAATACAGTAGCACATCGTAGAACTAACATGTTTGCATTTAGCGAAAAGATATTGCCACTTAGGGCCGTCGCATTTACAACAACGAGACTTAAGAAGGGTTATGTGGGCCTTCAGCCAGAGGGTCCATTGGATCTGCAGATCGTTTCCTTGCACGAGGGAATCGTGGACTTTTCCGGTCGTTGACAGGACGTCTCTTTCAAGGCTAGAGGCCTTACGTACCGCCTTGTCAAGGGCGTGGCGGTAGCCCTCTATTTGCTCTTGGAGCTTCGAGGCAGACGCATCAGGGACGGAGCCGGAGCCCTCGCCTTCTGGTGCTTCGCCTTCCCGAGGGCGCTTCCTTTGACGAATGTCGCTCATGACATTGATAATGAGTATTCCTGAATTCGGCCGCGAGATGTCACCCAAGGGCAATGTCAAAGTAAAAGACATACGGGAGCGACCTGTTGGGTCTTTATGGACAGCTATGGATAGCTAATCTCCTCCGTTGGCTTACTTTTGAGCCAACGTCAGGAGCTTATCACCTCTGAATTTACTCATGACCTCCTCCCACCTCGGCAGAATATAACCAGGAAGTATAAACTTACGTATCTACCTTTGTAACCAAAGATACCTACCTTTTCCTTTCAACCCTTTCTGTACTTACGTATAGCAGGTTACCGCCTGCGGGACCTTGTTGATTGTCACATGGAAAACTTCAGACCAACCTTGATAGCTACAGACTAAAGCTCAAGACCAATGATAATATAGAAGGTTTTCTTAACTGTTTCATTTGCCCGGGAAAGCAAGGTAGCACCCAGGGCCCATCATATTATTCTGAGCTTGACTGGATAGCTGTTAGCAGGGTGAACCCTCCAATCCAATCAGGCCTACCAAGATCGCAATCCCAAGGCACAAATAAGCCTAAGCTCCCAGCATATTCCTTCCCTATTCATACGTTCTTTTTCTGCTTATTATGGCCCTTCTATAGTTGCGCACCTGGCTGTCAGCTCTGCGCGATAAGCTGCACTCCTTTATATATATCTGAATACATTTTGAAAGACACAGTCCGCCCAGATAACGTCTGTTATCTTCTAACTAAAATCATCAGGCTTATTCCCAACTAACCAGATCCTTCTAAGCAGAGAGGCAGGGTAAGCCCTACTAATAAAACGGGATGAAGACGGAAACTTAATACTGAGCGCAAGTGTCGGTAGCAACAGATACTAAGACACTTATGTGATGTCGTCCTTTTATTTGGGGATAATTATGAGCTTTTATAATCATTCCCTGGAACGGTGATGACGATAGCTGATGACAATCTTGTCAGGTTGGAATTTGAATCAAGACGTGAGAATCTGTCCTCGAGGGAACAGGCGCGACTGGTCTTCTCAGCTTGCTCTCATCCTGGAAACGTCTTGTAGGCTTGCACACTTGCACCTAGCAAGCCTATGTCTGTTGTCAATTGAGGAGGTCTGTGGTATGAATGAGAGTGGTGTTCTTTTTCTGAGCCCGGATTCCTGAGGAGACGGCCTTCAGCCATAACAACTGCGAATACAGAAGCTGTCGAATTGACGGACTTGTTCTACATTTGTTCAAAGCTCAATGTTGAATGGCGCCATCTGAAAGTCGATTTCGCGCGACCAGGTTGGAAACATTCCTCGTGAAACAAACATCGTCCAGCACAAGCTATAAGCACACGCTGAAATCGTTCACCGGCTACTATAAACTAGGGAATCCACAGTTAGCCTTCAACACCTTTCATTGGTCCTGCTGGTTTACCAGACAGTTCGACAAATAAGAATGGCCCCTGTCGCTGTCGATGGGCTCAGTCTGCACGTTCCAGCATATATGGGACTGCACTCTGTCGAGGTCCACGGACATGTCCGGTCGGTTTCTGGACAAACGGCAGCGCAGCGACAGAGACGAAGTTGACCCAAATGCTATCCACCAACAGCCGCAAGACTGACACCAACGAAACATGTGCGCAGATGAGGCCCTTTGTTTCTTGCCTGTAAGCATTCAACTCCAGCCATGTGTCCGACATCACAGCCCTCCAAATCAGCCAAGGGCGCAGGTCCACTGCATCCAGCGCTCATATGTCCCTACTGACGGCATTTGGTCGTACCAGAGATTCCTCTAGGTATCCTCGTCAAGCTGCGAGACTTCAAACATCAGGTTTCACCGCCTAGGTAACTAACTCGGAACGAAAAGCTTCAGGGTTCATTCACTGCGCAATCCCGTCTGATTCGCATTCCATTTGTCTTGTCGCTGTGAGTATCGTCTGCCGTAGGAAACGAAAGTGCGCAGGATTCTTTGTACTTTTTAATTTTTTCCCGCGATAATTGAAGTACGTTAAAGTTGACGATGAGCTTCCAAGATCGCCTGCTGAAGATGCCGGGGCTGGCCGCGCTTATCTTTTACGTCACACCAAACGTGGGTGACGAGTGCGCGGAAGATAACGTCTGGGGTAGTCTGCTGTCCAGAAGAAACTTTGCTAGTAGACTAGTACCATGTTAGTGCCATAGAGGTAGCAAAATTACAAGTAGCTCCCTGGTCCATATAGAAGTCTTCAGCCTGAGAGTAACAGTTCATGGCCTGCTCCGATGCTACTTCGAGATTAATGACAGGAATCAGAATCAGTTGACATTTGTGGGTCGAGAATAACCATTGTCTTTATCCTTTTTACTGTTTTCCTATTTGAGGCTCAGTTGCTACAAGCGCAGTCCGGTGGCGTTTGCCATGTGATTAATTGTCGCAAGCTCGGGGCCGACATCGCATGTCAGCAACCAGCCGAGTTGTGCCGCAAACCCAAGTAGCCATACAAGAGCCAGCAATGGCCAAAGACCCCTCTACGCCAAATTTAGGGCAATCGTCTGGCGACCCTGCGATGGCCTACGTAGCCCACCCTTAATCCCCCTCGAACTCTTTCCTTTTTTTGCAGCGCAATCGATGGGACTTTGCTCTTACGGAGGACGTCAGGGGCAGCGATTCAAGATGTTTAGGCGTCGAAAAGGCCCGAATCCTGGGGCGCGGAGCTGGCGGTGGTTGGGCATCTTTGCGAAGGCTAGGTAGTCGTCGAGGTGCCTCTTGCTGCATGCGTTGTTGGTGCTGTGTAGGCGTCTTCTCGCAGGTGTGCCGAAGTTATCGATCAGCTACCAGGTCAGGCTGCCCACACCAGTCTCGTAAAGCTCGCCAGAGACTGCAGCTGCTGGAGCTTGTACGTCTAGCAGGCGATTTCTGCTTGGACGCATGGATGCTTGGATGCTTGATTGATCTCTAGCGTAGGCTTGTTGACGGGCCGAACGGCGGCCAGCAGTCCAAAGAGGTTTTCGCGCCGGAAGTTGTCAAACGTATCATCGAGCCGCGAGCGGATATTTGACAACGACTTTGGCGTTTGGCGGAAAATCCGAAGCTGAACGGGACGAAAGGGGGCATCAGAAGAGGGGCAAATGCCGCCGTTAGGAGGCCAAGTAGGCTCCTTGCCGTAATACCTCTCGGGCGCGAAGAGTCGCCAGTCTTGGCCAGCCAGTTGACAAATGGGAAAATATCGGATTATGCGACGCTTCTCGAGTAGCCTGGAGAGAAGATTGAAGGCGTCATCAGCGCGAAGAATGTCGAAAGATTTTCGTCCCGGGCGCAAGATGGGCTGTTCGAAAGGGAGGGGACATTCGCTCGCACAACGTCTGTGGAGTGGAAGGGTCGGACGCATCGTCAGCGCCAGGAACGTCGAAGTCAAGTATTCAAAGCACCTGCCGCTTGAGCGTTACTTACGCAGTACCTCTGCCAGCCTCAAGTTCCTGTGTGGGCCTTGCGGTGTTGGTATTGGCGCTGCGGGGGCGTCTTCGCAGAGGGACAGGCGTCGAGATGCCTTGCCTGATGTCGCAGTAGGGTTGCTAACATGCTAATAACGTAATGCGTTCAGAGGTGAGGTACGGTAGACGGAACACTGAACGAGATTGAACGGGGAGACTGAAGGTGCTCGGTGCAACAGCGATGATCTTGACGACGGTCTTGGGCGATTCGGAGTCCATTCCCGTGTACCACGTGGAAGTGGGGACCTGGATGGCCGCAGACCAACACCTGCCGGTTAGACCTCCTGCCGCTTAGAACTCCTGCCGATTTTTCAGCAGCACCTCCTGCCGAAGTCACCTCCTACCGATTCCACCACCTACCAATTCTAGCTGTCTACTGATAGTGTCGTCTTGGTAGGTGGCCAAGGCGGACTCTCCATTCCTACGGGGCTGACTTTCCAATCGCATCTACTGTTGACACTTCATCCCATTCAGGCATCATCAATCCACCACAGGTATCCCCACAAGACTGGCGCCTGCCTCAGCAGCCGGGACTCAGCAGCCCCCTCCCCACCCTCCAAGACAACGATGCATCCTCTGAACGTGTCTGTTGAACCGGCCACCCAGCTGCATGCTGAAAATGATGTGCGCGTAAACACTGCCTAAGCTTGAGGTGCGCGCGTCTAAGGAAAATATTTGGCATGCGAGATGTTCTCACGCGGTCGGGCGCAAAAAGGAACTTGCGAGGCCTTGACGGGGCAATTAGACGGCGCGGCGGGAACAAAGGATGGAGTTGCAGCACAGGAACGGAAGAAAAGTGCACCACATCAGTGTTACCCGCCCATCCCGGCACCAAATCCGTGTGGGGAGCCAATTAGAGATGTGGGTTCCCGCTGTGGGTAGCTGAACTTCAGCTACCTGCCCACTACGGTGCACCACACAGCGCTGAACAGCAGCACCTTGAGGTGCTGATCGAAATTCGGCCTCACCTTGACCCAAGCCCGCTCACCAACACAACCTTTCTCCCCTTTCTTCCCTGCGTCCCGGCCCTCAGTTTCGGGCATCGATTCATTTGCAACGGAGGACTTCTCGGCTCCAACCCGGCCAGCATCCAGGGCGTATTCTGGCCCCACTTTCCCGCCTTCCGCTGCTGCGACGAGTGCAATCTTGCCTTTCTGCCTGTTCCTTCCCAACTGCGGTTCCTCCTTCCCTGCTGCAGTTCTTTCTCTCAGATGCGGCGGGGTCTTTCCTTTGCAAGGCAAGTCCATTCTTCCTCACTTGCCTGTCGCCCTTTAATATTCCCTGGTCGCGCAACAGCGCAACGCCTCGCTCTCAGACCATCCCTGGATTCCTTTTCCATCGTCTGTCGTTTTCTCCATCCACCCCAACACCTCCATCAGCCCAGCCTCCAAGACCACACTAGATGCTGGACGCAGGCCGGCCCTTCTGCCGTCTCTTTTCACCTGTCTTCAGGATAATATGTGGGTTTCTGAAGCATGCAAGCATTATTTACATGGTCACTGCATCCCTCACCGCATCGCTTTTCCTTGCGCTAACATGGCTTCTGCCGACAGGTTCATTTCGCCA